GATATACTGCTTCACAGTAGGACAGAAGGCTGACTACCTTGAGCCTGGTGAGATTTGAACTGCCAATGCAGAGGAATATAGACTGAAGACTAGCTGATTCCACTCCCTTTTCTTCCCTAAACTTCCACCTTTTGAGGCGACGCTTATACGGTAAATTTAGACTGAGAAAATGATTCCTTCCTTGGGAGCATTACCCAAATGCAACAGTTTGCTCTCCAGTGGGTCTAGATAAACGAATTTTGCGTTTTTGCGACGTTGGTGCCTAATTAGCGGTGAAGCCCGTGTTGCATCCACTGGCCTCTCCGTTAAAAGCGTCATTTGGGCTGCAGCGGCTTTGGAGCCCCTCCCCCAATAGGCTCTCTATGATGACCCTTCAAGCAGAGGACTCAGCAAGTGGCTCAAAAACATGGCCGCGGGTAGCCAGCCTGCTCTTCCTCTGCCTTCGAGAGGCCGACTCGGGAAGAGCAGAGCTGCCTTGGCCCTCCTCCCTGCTGTTCCCACAAGGCTGTGGTTATCCCCACCCCCCATATCAGTGAGAAGTTGTCCTTGGAGAAGACCCTCCAGGCTGTGGAGCAGGAACTGGAAGAGGTGCGACAAGAGAAGGAGAAACTGCAGCTGACTGGCAGAGACCTCCAGCACCAGCGTGATGCCCTGGAGGAGGAAAGAGAGGACCTCCTGAAGGATCGGGAACGTGCCTGGAAGGAAGTGGAACAGAGGTAGACGGGGGGCTGGGTTGGAGGCGCCCTATCCAGCCAGAGGCCTCATTCGGGGCTCAGCACCCCCCTGGCTAAGCCAGTAGTGGGGACTCTGAATAAGGAAGCTCGGAGGAGTCCCAGCACCAAGGGTTCCCTGGTTTCGGCAGGAGGAGGCCAGGGGACTCTGGCCTGCCCTCCTCTGGGCTTGTCTGTCTTCGGTATTCAGAGCCCGTTGCGTTCAGCTGGGCCTCCTGTGGTCCCTCCTCTCTCTGCCCTGCTGACAGCCGCAAGCAGCTGGAGCACCTGGAGGCCACCAAGTCCAGCCTGAAGAACGAGCTGGTGCTGACGAAGGAAGCCCTCAGCCAGGCCACTCTGGAGAAGGAGGTGTTGGAAGAGGAGAAGGCCAAAGCAGCCAGAGCTCTGGCCAAGGCAAGGCGCCCGCTGGAGGTTCAGGCCCGAGAGGGAGCAAGCAGCCCTGGGCCTCGGCCCCAGGTTGCCCTTAGTCCTGAAGCTGGTTTGGGCCTCCCATGTGGAGAGGCTCCTGTTTGCCACACCACTGCGTTCTTCCTCCCATCTAGAACGAGGGGAGCCGGGCCGAGCTGGAAGTTGCTCTGAACCGGCTGAAGGCCGAGGAGGCCTCCCTGCGCGATTCCCTGGCCAAAATGAGCGCCCTCAACAAAGGGCTGGCGCAAGACAAAACGGAGCTGAACCAGATCCTCGTCCAGGTTAGGGCTGCGAGCGGCGAGTGTGGCCCCCAGGGGTGGGTGGGTTGGATTGCTCTGCATCTACCACTGTTGGCAGAGCGGTGCCCGAGCCTCCCTTGCCTGCTTTGCGTGCGGTGCAGAGGCCGGAGGTCAGGTCCTGCAGCCTTTGCTGAGGCGGACCATAGATGTTCTGAGCGCAGGGTGTCCCATGCTCCACCGTGGCTTGAAGGGGAGGAACATGGACGGGTTGGGCGGGTGGGAGGAGCAGCAGCAGCAGCAATGCCTGCCGTCCCTCACGGCGGCCTTGGGCCTCTCCCTTGGGCAGCTGGAGGAGGAGAAGGCTTGTCTGCTGAGCAGGAAGCAGGAGGCGGAGCTGGAGAAGGCCTGCATCCAGGATGACCTGGCCCGCTTGGTGCAGGAGAAGCTGGAGGTCGACTCGGAGCGCCGAGGCCTGGGCCATTCCCTGCAGGCGGTGGAGCAGAGCCAGGAGGCCCTGGAGCAGGAGCTGCTGGCCCTGCAGGAGAAGAAAGGGCAGCTCCAGGAACAGCTGGAGCAGGTAGAGGGCAGCTGCAGGGATCCCTGCTTCCCCTCCACCCTCCTGGGTCACCCTGCAGGCAGGACATCGGTTGCGGGTTGAAATCTTGGAAAATCTGCCAAGTCCAGCAGACGTTCCCTGCAGGGTCCAAGCTGCTTTAAGGGTGTTCCTGGGTGGCTTGATGGTTCTGCAATGAACGGCATTTGCCACGCGCATTTGCCTTCCTTCACTCCGTTCTCCGGTCCCCACGATCTGCCCTGTGGGGAAGGCCGCAGGCTTTAAGGGTATTGTCTCGCTGGGAGGTGGCTCATGGTTCTGACCCAGCTTCCCAAACACGACAAACCATCTGATGTGAATTCAAAAGATTCCCTTATTAGGAATGCTGGGCTTCATTAGCAGCAGTGGCTCTTCCTTCCCCAAGGACCAGCCCATGGTTTTCCACTGCTCTCCTCTCCTCTGCCTTCTGCGCATCCGCGCGTCAGGCACTGGACCCAGCTGTTCCTTCTCTTCCTCATCAGCCACCTCCAGACCTGGGGGCTGTTGACTCTCCACCTGAGGGCTCACGGATGGCCCAGGCTCCATCTCTGACTCTGTCTCTGTCTCTCTCCCTGCCGGCTCCATTCCCTCAACCCCCAGGTTGCCCTGATGCTGACCCTGACTTCCATGCTGCCTCCTCCTCCTCCTCCTCTTATTCGGCTGCTGGAGGAGCTGGCGGCCAACAAACCACAACGCTTATCCTCTGCCTCGTATAGGTGGGGACCGACTTGGCAGAGCCTTAGCAACAGCCTTGCGCCCTTTCTCACTCCCTCCACAGTTGTCCCGCCAAAGGAACGCAGCCGGCAAGGAGCTGGGTCAGGTGTCTCAAGAGCTGGAGCGCCAGAAGGAGTCTGCGCTCCGGGTGGCCCAGGAGAAGGAGACGCTGATGAAGGAGAAGGCTGGGCTGATGGTGCAGGTGGCCGCCTTGGAGCGAGAGAACCATGGCCTGCTGGAGGAGCTTGCTGGCCTCAGGTGGGTGCCCGGGAGGCTCTCCGAGGCGGCGGTGACACAAGGAACGCTGTTGCGCTTGCAACCCCATAGTGGCGTGGCAGCTCCTGCGTGCGGGCTGATGGAAGAGCGGGGAGAAGCTTGGTGCAGGCCTCGCTGCTCTTTCTCCTTTCTCAAAGGACGACAGTTGGCCGGAATCGGGTGTCGGGGAGGGCTCTTCCTCCAGGCACACAGTAGCCGACACCATTTCCTATCCTGTGGAAGCAGACCTGGGCTCTGCACGCAGCATTGCCCTCTGGTCCCGGGGGACTAGTGGGCCAACAAGTACTGGTGGGGGGCTGCTGAACCCTCAAGCTGCAGCTGGAAGGCCTGTGTGATGACTCGGGGCATGGCACAAGGGCAACACAGTCAAATGAGTCCCTTTATTATCTCCAACTTCGCCCCCAATGTGCGGGTTACCTTCAGTTGGAGAAAAACTCTCCCAGGAACAATCTTTAAGGGGAGGAAATTCAGTCCAAAAACAAAGCACATACAAACTGTAACCAAAAATCCAAACAAAACACGCTGCAGTAATTAACTCGACAGGGCAGGATAAGGAATTGCAGACTTGAAAGGCCAGCAAAACACAAACGGTTGGGAAGATGCCAGGAACACAGATAAACCTCGACAATACCAGATAATTCACGATTTGCTCCCAACAAGTTGCTGTTGCGCAGCTTCCCTTTTTAAACACTGTATTCCCAGCTGCAGCTAATGAAGGGAATCAGGGCCCTTTCCTCCCCCGTAAGCCATGCAACCCACATTGCTATCTTCTCCGTTTTTCCCTATGTGCCCTAGGATGAAGAGGGGGTGGGCCTGGGTCTTCATCTGAATTCCCTCTCCCTTGTTCTACTTCTCCCCTGCTCTGCCCAGCTGGACTTTGCCCTTCCCCAGTTTCCTTCACAGCCAATGGAACCATGCTCCCACTCCACGTTAGCTGCTCAGCCTCCCGCTCCGAATCAGATTCCGACAGGGCACGGTAGTCTTGACTGCAAAGAGGATGAAGGCTTAGCTTAGCCCCACCCACCCCCAACCTGACCAGGGCGATCCTTGTGCCGGCTAGGTCTGGGAAGGACTCCCTGGAAGCTTCGCTCTTTGAGACCCAGCAAAGGCTGGCCCACCTGGACACCCGGAGGGAGCAGCTGGAAGCGGGCAGCCAGAGCTTGATTCTGGCCAAGGAGGCCTTGCAAGGTACTGGGAGATGGAAGGGAGGGGAGGAGCACTTTCCTTCTGTCCCCTGTTGGGGAGAGGGAGGTTGGAGGGTCTTTTAGCGGGGTATGGAGCCACTCAGGGAGCCCAGGAGAGGGGACGCTTATCCAGGGGACGGTTTACCCCTAGGTGGGCCGGCTACCATCTTCCCTTCTCCTTTGCACGTATTTGTGGCCCTTGATCCTTGGGCAGAGGAAAGGCAGGGCGCCCCTCCTTCGCAGCCCTCCCCCAACTCCATCTGTCTACTTTACCCTGCTCTGCCCCCCTCCCTCCCCTCCCCTCCCCCCAGCGGAGCTTGCAAACGTTCGCAAGCAGATGGAGACGGAGGTGAGCCGCCTGGAGAGGGACAAGGAGCTCGTGGCCCAGAACCGTGCTCTGGCGGAGCAGGAGGCCCAGGCCACCCGGAGGAACATGCAGGCTGCCCAGGCAGAGGTCGAGCGACTCCAGCGGGAGAAGGTAGCCTGGAACCCCGGGCCTTGGGCTGGAGCGGGAGGCTGTCAGAGGGAAGTCCCTGGGGGAGAGGGGCTTCCGGCAGGACTGCCCCCAGTCAGTCTCGGGATGGAGCAGGTGACGCTTCTTGGCCACCCCACCCTCCTTGAGTGCTCTCTCTCTCTCTTTCCCTCCTCTCTCTCCCCCTTTTTCTTTCTTTCTGCTCCTTTCCTCCTCTTTCTCTTTCATCTCTCTTCCACCTCTCTCTCTCTCATCCCTCTCTCTCGCTCCCCTCTCCCTCTTTCT